GTAGGTTTTGCGGGGCGGGGGGAGGGGAAGCAGGACTCAGTTTTGCATCCGGTGACCCCGTGTTCTAGGTCCTGTAGCCACGGATCCCACGCCCCATCTGAATCTCAAGTTCGACCCGTGGACGATGACGCTGTGTTGGGACTGCGGAGGAGACACTACCGCCGTCGGTTGTCAGATTCTGCACAAGGAAGAAGGACCGGTCACCATCAAGGTAGGACGGCTTGACACGCTCCTGGGGTCCCTCATGCCAGCGCTCCCCAGCTTCTGGGGCACCAGGGCCCCGGGCTCCTGTGAGAATCTAGAGTCCGCTGACCTGAGGCGGCGATGCCGGTGCCGGGCAGCGAACGCGAACGCAGGTGACGCTTCGCTCGCTCCCCGCCGCTCACCTCCGGCTGTGCGGCCCGGTTCCTGACAGGCCAGCGACCGGGACCGGCCCACGGACGGGGGTTGGGGACCCCGGCCCTACACAGATCTCCTCCCGTTAGAATCAGACAGCAGCGGGTAGCAGTGACAAACACTGCCCGGGACACGGGACACGGGACACGGGCCGCAGCCAGTGCTGCACCTGCCCCAGGGACGTGCTGGCCCGTGAGCAAGACGTGGCCGCCGGTGGCCTGACTGTCTGGGGGACCAAGACGTTCCCTGGGAACCGTCTCGCACTAAACGGCGGAGGGGGCAGCAGACGTGCTCGCAGGGGAGGAGTCCGAGCTCTGAGCTTCCGAGGACAGAGCTGCGGAGGCTGCAGGCCCCCAGGGGACGTGGGACGCTCAGGGACGTTCGGCCACCCGAGCACAGGAATGTGGCTGGAGCGCAGGACGGGGGCCCAGAGCAGCAGGCACAGACCCCAAGTGAGCTCCCCGACGCTCGCTGAATTTCCAGGGACGACTCAGGGGGTCGACGTGCTGTGTAACCGTGACGGGGGGAGGCACCCCGTCTCTTCGGTGGCTTTCGGACCCCGTGCCCCTTCAGCTGCTTAGGGAAAGGGGCCGCCTGTCCCCAGCCCACAGCAGCCTTCTGCTGCGTGGAAGGGCACACTTCACCTGCGCAGACAGGGCACACTTCGCCCCGAGAGAGAAATGGAAACGAGGTGCACAGGCCAACTAGGGGACAGCGCAGCCGTGACGCCCACGGCAGGCCGTGGCTCTGAGACAGGACCAGGAAACGCAGTGACCTAGACGGCAGCGCCTCGAGCTCCTCGCCGAGGCCGGTGGGACGGGACCTCGCTGCTCAGAGCGGCTTCCGCCCGCATCCCTCGACGGCGCGTTAGAAACACAGCGTCTCAGCCTCCTGGCCCAGAATCCGCATTTCAGCAAAATCCGCAGTGACAGGGAGGGCAATCGAGTTGGGGTCCCCCCTGCAGGTTGGCGTGGGGACCTCCACCGGGAGCCAGGGCCGGGCATGGGGGAGGGGTCAGGCCGAAGGCGGGTGGCGTCACGGGTCGGTGTCAGAGCAAGCCCCACGAAGCGGGAAGGGGGGTCCGTGTCGTCTGGCTCAGCAGCCGCTCGCCCGTGTGTAGCTCGCGGAGAAGCCGTGCTCGCATTCCTTCTGGAACTTCGTCCTCCACGCGGGGATCACGTTCAACGTGACAGCCATCGCCGGCCAGAGACAGATCGCAGAGAGACTCTCCTTCACCAACGCAGGTAGGACAGCCTCCCCTCATCTTCTGCGCCCCTCTGGAGTCGGAGGGAACCCCCCTTTTTCAGCTTCCTCGACACGTGATTGGAAGATCAGAATTGTACACGTTTAAGGTGAAGGACTCGAGCTTTTGTTACCTGTGGGCATCGTGAAGTGACCGTCACAGTCCAGCTACTTAACACCCATCGCCCCCCACGACCGTTTCCTGTTTCGTCATTTTATTTTATTTTGTTTTCAATTTACTTTATTCTATTCTACCTTATTTTATTTTATTTATCTTTATTTGATTCTATATTTGATATTA